CTCCCACTCCCACCTCCCGTAACCGCCACAGAAGGATACCATGGTCGATGGTATCGAAGGCCGCTGAGAGGTCAAGAAGCACTAGGATAGAGGAGTGACCCTATTCCCTGGCTCGCCAGAGATCATCGATCAGTGCGACCAAAGCAGTTTCTGTGCTGTAACCAGGCCTGAAACCGGACTGAAAGGAATCCAGATAATCAGTTTCATCCAAGGACCGCCAGAGTTGAAAGGCCACCACTTTGTCAACAACCTTCCCTACAAACAGAATGTGAGAATTTTGAAAAGAATCCATTGCTTGGCAGCAGCCAACATGGTCTTATCAAGAAAAACATGCTAAAACAAACTGATTTCTTTTTTTGATAGAATGATCACTTTAGCTATCCAGAGAAATGCCAATAGATAAATTGTACACATGATTTCAGGAATGTAATCAACAAGGTCTTCCATGAAAATCTAGTAGAAATGTCAATGGACTAGCTAGATACAGAGCCAGTTGAACAAATATATCTAACAGGTGTACATTAGTGAATCAGAGCGATTTACTGCAGAGTTTTGTACTATTCAAAGCATGCTACTGGATGATAATATATATTTTAAATGACTCAAACATAGAGGTATAAAACCACTTTAAAGGGCAGTGTCAAGGTTCCAGAGGCATATGACAAGTTGCAACAATAAGTAGAAACCAGCAAGATAAGTCCAGTAAATGGGTAGGAATAAACAAAGGTGTGAGCCTAGGGTGGAAAGGACTACATTTGACAATAGTATGCATGAAAAGGATCCAGGTGGACCATGTGCTGAACTTGAGTCAGCCTAGGATGTGATGCAATTGCAAAACAAAACAAAAAGTGTGGGAGGGGATGGAATGGAATCCTAGGCTGTATCATTAGAAGTATGAAATCAAGCTAACAAGAAGCCATTGTTCTTTCTACTTTGTATTGGTCAGACTGTGCTTAGAATATTGCATCCACCTTTGGGCACCATAGTTTAGAGGACATTCTCAAACATGTCCAAAAAGCAATTAAGATGATGAGGGCCCTGGAATGAAAAACTTAAGAGGAATGATTATAAGCTACACATATGTTCAACCTAGAGAACAGAGGACTGTGGTGATATGATTTTTTAATTCTTAGTGTTTTCCTACAAGCATATGGTCTGCTTTTTTCCAGATCAACTAAATGTACATTCATTGGTTGCACGAGGAATTGTGCCAGGTAATGAGGTTTTAATAGCTGCCAGCTGATGTAAGGTTGTAAACTGTAATCTGTAAGATGATGCAATGAGGATGATTCAGCAATACAGGTATCCCCTGTTTAAGACTCTGGTGGGGTCCACAGAAGTCATTTACTGATTTAAGAGATGTCTATATATATATATAGGTGGCCATTACAGGGTGTTTCTCTCTCTCAACGTGTATCTCATTTCTCTTCTTGTGTCCGTAGCTGAGTGGTAAGGGATTTATCTACTTGTGTTTGTCTGTATATAGTTCTGTACATATAAACCACTGTTAATTGTATAAAGGCGTTGTGTGCTGTGTGCTGTTGTTTGCTCCTGGGTTTATCTCATAATACTAGTCACACTGCCATAACAAATTGACTGACTAGCTTATTGCCCAAACTCGACATCATAGACTGAGAATGACTGGCCCAAAGTTACCCAGAATTAGACATAGAATTTTAAAGGGAGAATACAACTCACAGTCTTCTAGCCTGGTGCTGGCATTAAACATTTTTGTGAAAATATTTTTATTTTTGAAAAAATGCAAATATTGAAACTTACATTCCTTGATAAATAGGTAAGTGAGCGTTAAGATTACAGTGTGTCCACTGAATAGAAAATCTCCACATAAGATATGTGAGCCTGTTATAGACAGACCACCTCCTGAAATTAGTTGCAGAATTCGGTGAACTTTAGCTTGAGAATCACCATTTAGCTAGAATTAAGTAAAAAAAGAGGGGGAATTGTTAAATGGTACATTTGACAGGATAAAACATTTCAACGCAAATTAAAATTAAAATAACAAAATGCATTAAAATACACAAAATAATTTATCTATAACATTTTATAGTATATATGTGAAAATCAGCAAATAGGTTCACAACAGTTAAAAGCCAATGGAGCATCATTAATTATTATACGAAGCAATCCATTTGGATCCTTGGCAGACAAGTTTTAGTCTGGGTTACAGTGTAGAAACTATACTGGTCATACTTATGGATGATCTTTGGAGAAGCTAGGTTTTGGGGAAAAGCAACCTTGGTATTCTTTGATCTCTTAAAGGCCTTTAGTCCATAACATCCTTCTCTGGTGGGCTGGAATAAGGGGAGACACTGTCTTACAATGAATCTCCTCCTTTGTAAAAGATCAATTCCAGTTGGTAGGGAAGGGGAAATCTACTTGTAGGTCTTTAATTTATGGACTGCCTCAGAATTCTCTTTTTACTCCAGTTCTCATTAATAGTTACATAAAATTGCTGAGGGAGGCCATCAGTAAAGATTAAACTTGGTGTCATCAATAGATGATAATACCTAGTTAGACATCTCAATTCTGGAATGCATCAGCAGTATGGAAATTCTGACCCAGATGTGCTTGTCAGAATAACTTTAAGTTTATCAGCCTGCTGATCCCAGAGAAATACTATTTTTCACTCTGAACTGAGTTTTGTTTTCCTGTTCAGAAGTAATTCATAATTTGGTGCTCCTCTTAATTCAGAGTTTCTTCTCACTAAGCAGATGGCTAAGACAGCTTTTGGACAGCTACATTTTGTGCATCAATTGTGGCTTCTGATGGATCAAGCGGCTGTTTTCACAGTCACTCACGTCCTAGTCACTTGCTATTTGAAATACTATAATGAACTGCCCCTGAAGAACATTTAATAGCTGCACCTGGCACATAAAATGGCACCCTAGACTGTGATGGATTTTTCCTGATATACGGTACCTAAGTGACTCTGCTGCTTCAAAAACTGTACTGGCTGACAATTAGCTTTCATGTGCAATTCAAAGTGCCAGTTGTCACCTTTAAGGCTCTACATGGCTTTGGCCCTAGTTATCTAAGACTGCCTTCTCCTATATTCATTTGTAAATGTGACCAGATCGAATACGGTCAAATCCCTCCTGGTTATTATCTTTATGAAACTGCTATCTGAGAAGGCCTTGGAAGCAGGCTGATAGCTTTCTCCCTTTCCTTGAAACTCCCTCCAAGTGGAGATTTCAAGACCTCCCTTCTGAGCTGTCAAAATGTATCTGCTCCATCTTGTACAGCAATGGTGGGATTCAATTTTTTTTACTACCGGTTCTGTGGGTGTGACTTGGTGGGCGTGGCAGAGAAAGGATACTGTAAAAATCTCCATTCCCATCCCACACCAGGGGAAGGATACTGCAAAATCCCCATTCCCTCCTGATCAGCTGGGACTCAGGAGGCAGAGAATAGATAGGGGTAGGGGCCAGTTAAAAGTTGTATTTACCGGTTCTCCAAACTACTCAAAATTTCTGCTACTAGTTCTCCAGAACTGGTCAGAACCTGCCGAATACCACCTTTGTTGTACAGGCAGAAGGGATGCATTGATTAGAACTGGAATTTGTGACCACATGGGTTTTGCTTTCTCAATTTTTAATATTTTGATTTTGCCATTTAGAAAAAAATGTATATGGAGGTGTCAGGTCTTTCCTGAAAGCCTTCAAGATTGGGAAGCATACAAATGAAATAGCATAATGATATCTATGAAATTATTACAACTACATGCTAATAAATTTACCTTTGGAGCACACTGAAAATGCATTCCAGGTACAGGCAAAGTGGTGACATACATGGTAATGCACCTATAGAGGTACAAAGTTCCCAATATAAAAAAGAACCTTCGTCCTACTATTGATCTGAAATATAAATATAAACATATTGAGGTAAGAATTCTTGAGACATAATGCTAGCAGTATACCATATTTCTATTAAAAAAGGTTGTTACAATGGCAGTTATAACACAGTGGAATAAAATTTATTTTAAAAATATGAAGAACCACTTCCTGCTCCAAAGTTATGTTTTGATTATATTAGTTTCAGAAAGGTGAGGGGGGAAATCTACAATAATACCTTTCTTCTATATTTAGCTGGTGGCTATGAAAATCATAACATTGGACCTGTTTTGCACAACACAATCTTAGACATTACAGTAATATAAAACGACATCTGAGCATTTCATGGTAGAATTTTGGATTGTCAACAGTTAGCAGCATGCATACTTAGCATAGACTTAGCTTTTAAATAAGAAAAAAAAGAAAAACCTGCTACATTTCTTATTTTCTACTCTGTCTTAATGGAGAAGGTCCTTGAATGAGTTATTTCAACAGTATTATGAGCTGTGTTGGGATTCAAGCTTTTTTACTACTGGTTCTATGGGCGTGGCTTGGTGTGTGTTGCAGGGGAAGGAGACTGTAAAATCTCCATTCCCACCCACCTCAGATAATAGATGGGGCGGGGCCAGTCAGAGGTGGTATTTACTGGTTGTCTGAACTACTCAAGATTTCTACTACCGGTTCTCCAGAACTGGTCAGAGCCTGCTGAATATCAGGTACCCTATCTCTCCAAAATATTGAGATGGGAAATAATCACCTTGCTTTCACCAATGAATTTGTTGGATAGGGTGAAGTAGGGAAATATTTTCATTTAGGCACCATGACATAAGAATGCATGAACAGAAGTGGTATTCTACCGGTTTGGACTGGATCACCAGAACCAGTAGCGAAAATTCTGGGTGGCTCCGCCCACCCACGCCTGGCTCTATGGCATCCCATTAAGGCCTTTTTTCCACCAAAAGTGCATGCGTGGAAGGATCAGCGCATGCACGGAGGTGGTGCGTGTGATAGAAGCGCACACTCACATTTGTGAACCGATAGGGAAGGTAAAAGTGTGTACCACCCCTGTGCATAAACTATAAATTGTGCTCACTTTCTTTAAAGGTAACAGTATAATGCTACTGAAAACTATACAGCAACAAGTTCTACTGTAGTCAATGAAGCCTAAATCACATTTGGTTAATGCAAATAATCTGTACTCTCATAAGAATTCAATTTATATAAACCATTACAGATTCTATTATTAATATATATCTTAATGTGGAAACAAGAGTTATTTACAAAATATCAGTCAACATTTTTTTTATTTCTAAACATATGCTTGCAGATATATCCATAATGTTGTTCTATTTCAGGGTAAGCAAGTTATGCAGAATGCAGAATGAAAGTAAGAAATATTAAAGCAAAGAAATATAGATAAAACCATTCAATATCCTATTAATATCTTTCTATTCTTTTAAACAATCCTTGTTCTCACCCTGCTCACACCTTGCTTCATATATTCTCTTTTTCTTTCTTTAAACTTCCTATTCTTTATTTTTGATTACCTCATCAACTTCAACAAGAACAATCCTCTTGGCTTCTCTTTCTCCCTGTTGAATTAAACTTCCTCCTTCATATATTTGTCTGGCATTCAGTCCTAATTCATTATAAATTCAATCTGCCACAAAGTATTCCTTTCAAATTACTCATTTCTGTATTCCATTAAGCACCCATTTATTCTTTTTTATACATTTTATTAACATTTTCATACAGAATAAAAACTAACAAGAACTAATACTAGTATTTAGAATGAAAAAAGGAAAAATTTAAAATAGAAGAAACAAGCAAAAGTAGAGGCACAGAAATCAAAGAAAAGAAAAATGATAAAGAAGTGACTTCCAATTTTCTTTTGCAGCAGTTATAAATATAATATAACCTCTTACTCTAAGGGTACAGCATTGTATACATTTAGCCATAATCTAATATTTTTATTCTAATCAAAATCATATATCATTCATAATATCATTTTTTCTATTTACCACGAAAAGTCAATAAGAGGTTAGCAGTAAATTTAGACATTGTCCTAGCGCTAATTAAAGCAATCAAATTGTCCATTTCAACAAGTTCCATCATTTTCACTATCTATTTCATATACATTGTAGGTAAAAACAAATCTTTTCACATATAATAGTCTCACTGCAATCATCATATATAAAAATGAAGCTCCATAATTTTTCTAGCTGCTTATCCATCCAAAGTCGCTGGTTTCAATGATATATGACTTTCTTTCCTTGTTTTTACATACACTTAGAGCTCATGTTCCCATTGCATTTATGTGTTGTGGCCCACCAGCGGAGCTGGCAGCAGATTCGGACAGTGAGGAGATTCGGACAGTGAGGCAGAGAGGGGGCCAGAGCTGTATGTCAGTTATCAGATGCCTTCAGAGTCAGACATCAGTGAGGCAGACGAACAGCTTCAGCCTGTTCCCAGTGTACGCACGGACAAAGTTTCCAGACGAAGGGAACAGCTAAAGAACCGGGGTCGACTTGGAAGTAAGGCCACCAATGGACGAATGGCCCATCCCAGAGGAAATAAAACAGGAGTGAAAGGGGAGTGGCGTTTGAAGGAGACAATTAGTTCAATTAATTGGCTCATGACTCTCCGAGACTCCTTGCCAAGTTTTGCAGATATTGGCCTGGTAGCTCTCTAAGCCAGATAAGGTCCATGACTGTAAATCTTCCCTGGAAAGACTTTGCTGCATGTGAATGAGCAGAATTCACAGTAAATTAATTAAAAAAGGTTTTTGTCAGGACCAGGAGTTTGCTTCATGCTCTTGGGAAGCCTAGGTCAGAACATTATGTTTCTATGAAATACCCAGTTTTAATACTGATATAACAAAGTGAGGTCTATTGTGTTATTTCTGCATACTTTTAGCAAATATCCATTTCTCATAACAGATCACAAATTATCTACTCCCATTCTGCCTGCATTTCCCCATCTTATCATTTCTTCATTCATTTTCCATCTTTTTTACTAGATTACACAAATTCATCTTTCTGATCTACTTTTTTGCCAATGATGTATAACTCAGAATTATTCATTGAAATCTTCCTTGTCACACATAGTTACATTCATCTTAGGTACATTAATGTTTATATCTATGCTCCTTGTTGCATCATACAGTCTAACATTCATGACAAATCATCTGCTTACAGTTAAAACAATGCAGCATAATCTACATACAAAAGTACATGCACATCCATGCATCCAACCAACATACCTCAAATTACCCTATAAATATTTTATATATTCACACATAAAGGCCAACACACATCCAATAAACATTCCACTTATATTGCTCTTATGATGTGGTTGCACAGTGGTTAGAATTATTGCAGGATAACTCAGCTCACTACCATGAGTTCAATTCTGACCAGCTCAGTTGACTCAACATTCTATCCTTCTGAGGTTGGTGAAATAAGGACCCAGATTGTTGGGCGTAATATGCTGACTCTGTAAACTACTTGGAGAGGGCTGTAAAGAACTATGAAGCATTATATAAGTCTAAGTACTATTGCTATAGTAATCAGCAATCAACATTCATTCCATATTAATGCAAAACATTCTGTACTTCAAGCCTACTCATATTATTATATGCTTTCTCTAAATCAACAAACATATGAAAAACTTTTTCTCATGTACATATTTCTCAATGTGCAACTTGAGAGCAAAATGTTGCTTGCATATATCCTCCTGGCACAAAGCCATCTGCACTTGTCAAATGTTATTGTCACCTCTTGTAACTCAATCAAAATATTACCAAAGTCTTTCCTTTAAAAAAAAATATTTTTGCATTTATTCTTACTTTGTACAAGGAGAAGAGTAATGGCATTCTTCCCATCATCAAGTATTGATGCAGTTTTCATGTGTGATAAGCAACTGACACAATCATTCCTTAAGCAAATCACACCCACATTTTAACATTGTTCCAGATGTAGCATGTGCCCAGGGTTGTTGAAATTGAGGTGGCATACTAGTTTAAATCATCATTATCATCACCATCATCATATTCATATCTATATGTTCACCGCTGCCATTTTCAACATAATCCCAGCATTTATTATAGGCTTTTCATCAAATATTTTGAAACAAACTTTTATATAATTTGCCTCAATCCCACTCTTTAACATACTTATTTTTTCAATACTGATCTATTAACTACTTCTAGCATTACCCCATTTATCTGAAATTATTTCAGCATTTTTATTTTTCTCTTATTCTCATTTTTTGTAGCAATAACCATTTTTCATCCACAGCCTACAACATTTCATTTTGTTATTCCATTAAATCACCTTCCTATAATCATTCTATTTTCACGCTCTTCTCTTTTATTTCTTGTCTTACCAAAATGATCTATTTCTTGGTCATTAAGCTAGTCACTAAGTTGTCAAGCAAACCACACAGTCGTAAACTTGAGTTATTTTATCCAATGGGCATTTTTGCCATTAAATAGCATAAAATGTTGCAAAATGCAATTACAAGAGTGTGGGATTCTGCAACTGGTTGTAAATGCAAATAGGCTGCCCAACACCCACAAATGATCACATGACCACAGGGGTGATGCTGCAGTGTGTATAAATAATCCTAAATCAAGAACTACCTGTAGATCATTTTCATTCAGATCTATTACAATCTTCCCCTTTCTCTTAGTTTCACATACCCTTTATTTTCCCTTTATTTTCATTTGCTAATTCTTTTTATCCTTTTATTTTCATCTGCTAATTCTTTTCTTCATGCCTATTATCCTTTTTTTTTACATTCCAAGTCAGAATTCGCTATATGCCATAATCCTCATAAATAAGATACTAGATAGATATTGATCTCTGCCATTCATCATGGCTTCTACCAATTAAAGCTTTATTTATATGTTTATATCTATATAAATTTCTACATCATACAAGTGAATAAAAAAATAAAATAGGCTAAATTCCCAAATTTACTTTGATAAGCACGGTTTCAGCACATTCTATCCAGTATTCCGCCAATCCAAGCAAACCCCAATTTTACCCAAATCTGTTAATCTTATTCTGTGAAAATTACAATTAATAATCTACAAATTAGCTAGCCATATATTGTCCACATCTCTCCAACCTGGAGGTATTTGCTATACTTTAACATTCAGAATGCAGATTCTTTATTTCTATGATTACATTACTGCAATTGCAAAAATCTTCGTTAGCATTACAAATCTATTGATTTTTACACCCCCGTAGATCATGGTATACAGTGCATTTAAAAACATCTAAAGTTCTCTGTTTCCATAATAAGAAAAATACAAGAAAAAATATACTTACTTGTATTTAAGAAACAGCCATTGGATTATCCATATTCCAACAAGGATAATTCCATTTATTTCTGATACAGAAAAAGCCCATTCCACACGATCAATATAATCAAAAAATTTATCTGGCAATGGAGGGCTGAGCTCCTTGGAAGGTACCCTCTCATGTACCACTGTGATCATGACAGTTGTTAAAACTAAATTGAAGACAGCATATACAAAGGCAATGCCTGTTTTCCACCATTCCAAAGGAAACTTGTTTCTAGAGTCAGTGGGCATGGAAATTTGTACGTATTCTGGATAGTTTTTAGCACCTTTTCGCAAACCATTGGATAAACTCTTCGGTTTGTTGCTGCCATTCTTGTTTTCATCACTAACAGTCAGAGCAGGTCGAACATAACCATTGGAAGTTTCACTGGTCTGGCCTTCCATATGTTCTTCAAGCTTTGCTGTCTCTATGGTATCCATCAGGTTTAATATGTGTGATTAATGGATTCTAGTTGGATTTCCAAAAATAGCTTCCACTTCTTTTTTAAAAATCTTCCTCATCCACTTTCACCCACTTTTGTTCTTTTAACAAAGCATACAGAAAGTATAGGTTCCACTTTGAGCTACAGCTTTGGTTCTTTGGTAGATTTTTCTTTTAAGGATCATCAACATGCTACCTGAAATTACATTTAGTATACAATAATTAGCACTGTTAGACATATATCCAGGTATAGATCATTTTGCACTATAAAAGATATATAACAAATATATGGCAGGTGAGTGTGCTAATGTGTGCAATTCCACTTATCCAAATGGAGCTGCACACACGAGAACACTTGCACGCTCACACACTGCTTGTGCAGAACCATCCCTTCTGTCCCCAAGATTAGGTGCTGTTGGTCTATGACCCAGCACCCTGCATGCTTACTGTTTCTCGGCATTGGGAATACATAACACCAATTCTGCAATCCCTGCACTGGTTGCCAATTGGTTTCTGGATACCTTTAAAATGCTGATGCTGACTGATAAGACACTTTATGGCTTGGCATGTGGAACAGCCGACTCCAAGCAGAATCACCCTGAGCCACTAATTTCTGCAGGGACACACTTGTAATCCCACACTTTTAGAAGGAAAAGTGTGGGCAAGGCTAAGAGGCATTGTTTTTCCATGGTAGTGCCAATATTTTAGAATCCCTTCAGACTTGCCCTCTCTCAGCAGGCTTTCAGAAAAAACTAAAAATGGAAATCCAAAATAAAAGCATGCATTCCCTTAATTTAAATTCAAAAACATTAAGCATGCTCAAAACATTGTGCCACCTTTTTAGTTTGTCTTTGTTCTTGGGGTTTTTGTTATTATTTTTAATCAAATCATGGATGCTTTCACTTTTGTATATTAGAATAAGAGAATAACAGAATTGGAAGGGACCTTGGAGGTATTATGTACTCTGTAAGATGTTGAAAGTCATTAGATTGTGATAGGGTATAAGTTTAAATAAATAAATATAGAAATGATTACTGTTAAATTGAATTTGTTATGTCCTTATATTGCACAGTACAAAATGATTTTTGCAAACCTCTTTATATTTGTTGGCTTAATATACATTGGTAGTATTTTTTAAAAATATGTTCAAGCATTTAAAAAATGAAACACAATTGCATTGTACTTTTGCTTTGACCATAGGCTATTTTAGGACAAATGACTGATCTCCAAGTACAGCTTTCAAGACATTGGAGAATACAATCAGATCAAGGCAGAGCGAAGTCTTACCTCAAACCAAGCACTTTCCTTTGTACTATATAATCTATAAACATTAGCTATAAATCATTGTTTCATTTTATAAGAGATAAACAGTAAACTGATACAACTAATGAGTCACATAAACCATTATAATGGAGCGTACATTCAGATGAGATGCTAAAGGCTAGAAACAGTGGATTTCTTTCATGGTTTAGCTGCCCTCATAATTCATGCTATGCTTTGATACCCTCAACATATATGCTTCTGAATAAGCTACTTGAACTGTGACATACATATGTACAACCCATTAAAGGTAGTCCCTGATTAACAACAGCAATTGGGGCTGGAATTGCTGTCACTAAATAATGCAGTCATAAAGTGCAATGTCATATGACCATGCCACTTAATAATTGCAGTTCTGATACTCCAGGTTGCTTGTTAAGAAGCATATATGTTGAGGGTATCAAAGCATAGCATGAATTATGAGGGCAGCTAAACCATGAAAGAAATCTACTGTTTCTAGCCTTTAGCATCTCATCTGAATGTACGCTCCATTATAATGGTTTATGTGACTCATTAACAACAGCTATTGGG